TCTCTCTCTCTCTCTCTCTCTCTCTCTCTCTCTCTCTTTCTCTCTCAGTTACGGGTACCAGGGATTGAACTCAAGGGCACTTGACCACTGAGCCACATCTCCAGCCCTAGCTTAGCACCTAGCTTTTGCTGAGGCTGGCTTTGAACTCATGCCTCAGCCTCCCAAGACATTGGAATTATAGGTGTGCGCCACTGCTCCCAGCAGGCCTGACTTTCTTGAAGGATGTTACTTCTCCTATTGCCTGCTTGGGAAGTACCCCACATTTAAAGAATCAGGAGGAAATGACTTCTTCTCACTCCGTAAATACCCTTCTGGTCACTGTTTCTCTATTTCATCATTGGTAGCTCTTGAATTTCAAAGTAGGAAGATTTTGGGTAGCAATCTGGTTAGGAGGAGTGCCTTGGGGATTTCTATTAAAACCATGTTGGCTTTATAAGGAGATTGCTATTTATATGTTTATTCGCAGTGCCTTGGGGATGGATAAGGGCTAAATGAACTATATTGGTGGGCCTAAGAATACTCCTAGACAACTTTTGGCACTACCACTGAGGTTTATAGGAAAAGCCCTATTTCTTTTTTAAACTTTTGCTGGATATCTACCATCCCATCTTCTTCCTTGACACTTTCAGGTTCTTGCTCATCTTACACTGATGGTCTACCTCTTCATCCCCTTTTTTCTAATAATAAAATATTAAAATATTTAAATCTAATATAATAAAATATGTGGACAAATATCCATGCTATGTAATCTCTGTTCTTCCACAGAAATCCCACGACCTGACTTCCTACCTGGCCATTTAAGCAGCCTTAAAAAGATAAAAGATTCTGTAAAATCATTAGCATGTTATAATTTTTTTATATCTATTACTTAGCACATTTCTCCAGGCTGCTATATCTGGAAGCAGAACCATTCTTGTTATTCTTAATCTTATCTCTATACTTTTCCCCTCACACCTTCCTTCATGTGCTTCTATCCCCTTGTCTTCTCAATGAAATGCCAAGCCCCTGCAGGTGAGTCTTAATCCTTCACTCACAGTGCCAGCATTTCTCAGAAGCATCTCTGTCTATAAGGAACTTCCAAACCTATCTAAGACTTATGGAGCAATTAAAATAAAGCAAGAGTTCTACAAAATGTTGTGAGCTGAGATGGCCTGGGGCTGCCCATGTAGAATCACAGTACTAACACATTCAGCTCTGGTTTTGACTCTGTGTTATGTTATTTTCCTACCCCCACTGCCTGGGATTTTTGTTGTTAGTTTTTCTCCTAGACATTCATTCCTATTTGTTACCTTTTGAAGCTTGAACTACTATTTGATATGCCCAACTTTCTTTCTTTGTATTTTTTTAGGCAAAGGCTGCCACCTAAAAATGTTTATTACTATCGATGTCCGGACCATAAAAAGAATTATGTGATGTCCTTCGCATTCTGTTTTGACCGAGAAGAAGATATTTACCAGTTTGCTTACTGCTACCCATATACATACACGCGCTTCCAGCATTACCTCGATAGCCTGCAAAAAAGAAACATGGATTACTTCTTTCGGGAGCAGCTGGGCCAGAGCGTGGTAAGGCCAGTGCCAGGTTTGGGATACCTATTTTAGAAACAGGCAACCTTGGAGTTGGGACTTAGCAATGGGTTTTTAAAGAATTCAAATAATGAATAGTACATTGTAGATAGTATGTTGTGAAAGTTTTAATAATTTAAATATATTAAGTAACAATATAGTTACATATTCATAATCTAATAATTATTACCTAATAGCTACAGATCTAATAATTAATATAGCTAATGGTTTAAATACTATTTAATTAGTTTTATTATTATTATATGTAGTTATTATTATTTCATTAGGTTTTTTTTTCATTGCTATATCAGGAAGTAACAGAATAAGATATGAGAAAGATGGCTCTGCCTCCCTCTTTTACTTAAAAGAATTCTTATGATAATACTGGGTTCACAAAAATCCAGGATAATCTCATTTCAGGATCTTTAATTTAATCACATCTGTAAAGTACCTTTTATTATGTCAAATAACATATTCACAGGATCTGGGAATTGGGACGCAGACACCTTGTAGGGGTGGGTATTCATCAGTTTGCCTGACACATCTTCTTGTATTTTTCCGTCTTTCCTGCTCAGACTAGAATCTGAAATTATTCCTTTCATTGATTTAATAGGTTCTGCTCTTTGTTTTCAGTAATACTTTTGTTGCTAATAAAGAATAAGTAGGTGATAATTTGTTTTTAAATATCACTCTCTAAAAAGTGTGTAATGGGCTCCTCAAATGACATATGGACCAGTCTTTAAAGGTTCTAACTAAAGATAGTGATGGAATAGGCAGAAGATACTATACTACGGATTTTGATATATGTTGGTGGAGGAGATGGACTTTTCCTAGTAACTGGGTTCCATCTAGAAGTGAATCCTGTTTCTAAATAAATTCAGGATACTCAAGATACTTAAGTGAAGAAGGCATGTTTATGGCTTAGGTACTCACAAGTCAAATTTGATCATGATAATATTCTTCTATTCTAGAGTTCTCTATACACTAAGATTTTGCTAAATATCTTCACTCTACTCCAACCTTCTTCCCAACAAGTCTTCTGGTAAATACCATTTGTATCTGGTACTTACATGTTTTGAACTAAAAATTGGGACACATGGTATAGCAGGAAACAGATGGTAACCTCAAGAATAATTTGAGGAAGTTTTAATAAGTGGTCTATTTGCAATGTGTAGGCAGTTTATAGGAAAATCAGAAGACACAGTGAAGTTTCCTATGGATAATAACAGGTCAAAAAGTACGAAAGGGGGAAATGATTACCAGAACCCAACTGTACAGAGTCACTGTAGTAGGCCACCTTGGGAGGAACAGTAACCTTTAGTTTAAAAATACAGTTAACCTGAGATGGTCACATAGGGAGGAAGCTGAGAAAGATAAACAAAATCATGCATTGCTTGACCAAGAGGAAATGTTTTGAGAAATGCATTCTTAGGTGATTCCATTATCATGTGAACATCATAAAGTCTACTTCCACAAACCAAGATGACTGTGACATAACTAAGTGATATAATCTTTTGGGAACACCAGCATAAATGTGGTCTGTCATTGACCAAAATATTATACCACTTCAATGTTCATAGTCTCTTTTCTCACCTCTCTCTGATCTCCTCCTATGGGTCCCTATTGTCCAACCAAACTAGAAGCCAGAAGTTAGGAAAGTCTATTGAGGTAACCCATACAGATCATCATTCTAGGGCAAAGAAAAGTGTGGAGAAGGGCCAACAGTAGACTTAGAAGGTAAAAACAGAACATATTAGACACACTAAGTCTAACCAACAATATATTACTAGAGACATTATTTGAGATGGGACTATCAGAGAAATTCTGAGATTAATATTTGCCAGATATATGAATTAATATATAATTTAAGACAATTAGTTCATTCAACACTCATGGCTTTTAAGGACAGACTCTGTATAGTTCACTCTTGCTTCCACCCAAATCCCCTCCTGAATGGCTCTAATGTGCACACTGAATGGTTATTGAGTAAATGATTGAATTAATGAAAAAATAAATTAAATTTTATGTCTGGAGGCAGTGTGAAGAGCTGAAAACAACAGAAAGTTGATAAGAGGTATAATATATAAGTTAAGTTTCTATTAAAAATATACAAATGATCTAAAATAGCAGCAACTTAACCCAGATCATTTATTTCTTTTCAATGTAAAAGTCTGGATATATGCAGTACACAGCTAATATTGAGGGTCTGCTCCTTGAAAGCCTCAGAAAATCAGGTTCTTTCAGCTTTCTGCTCTGCTGTCTCTGGGATTTAGCTCTCATTCTCATGATCCAATGTGGAATTTTATCATGGCATCCAGGTTCTAGGCATTAGGAGGAAGGAAGTGGAGGAGAGAAAAAAAGTAGTTGTATGGTACTATAACTTAACAGAACTGATATCCACATTTAAGTATAAGAAATCCTTATACGTGAGTGGCCATGTCTCTTTTCAAAATTTGTGTTTCTATGGCTATGGAGAAAAACTGATATTGAGGACAGCTTTACATCTCTGTCCCTGGAAACTTGAATTCTGCTTCCAGCTCTAATACGAAACTACTTGAGAGTTCCTGTTACTGTATCTTCTTTTTGGCATTTGGTATGTCAGTATTCTTGCTTTGGGGCATACTACAAGGCAAGCAATGGTATTTCCTTGTTTAAATTTACATTTCCCTGATGGCATATGATGTGGAGCATCTTTTTTTTTTTTTTGTGGAGCATCTTTTCATATGCTTATTTCCCATCTGTGTATGTTGTCTGGAAAGGTATCTGTTAAGGTCTTTGGCTCATTTTTTAATTGACTTGTTTGTTTTCTTATTGTTGAATTTCATTCAGGTTTTTTTTTGTCTTTGCTATTTCAAGTCAATCCAGTGTAAATTAATGGTCAGCTATGATAGGTTTGAGGTTGTACTTACTTCACTTCAACCAGTAAGGTGTCCATCCTCTGCCAATGAATCTGTGTGTGGATAGAGGAGCATATTCAAAATTTAGGCAAGTTTCCAGTCTTCCCTGGTTTTCACTTTCCCTTTCATGTTCTGTTTCCTGTGTGTATATGTTGAACTTCAAGTCAGGTCACAAGTCTAGCTGGCTTGGGTCTTCTTTGGTCTCTGCTGATTCTTCACCTATCCTTATCCAGAAATGTGCTTGCTCTAATTATATGACCATGACTTCTCTTCAATCTTCATCCTATAATGCTGCTGGGTGTGAGTACTGCCCACCTCTCCAAATTGAGTGAGTTCTTTTCTCTTGGCAGGGAAGCAGCTTCTCCTCTCAGCCTGCCCTGCCCTAATAGAACCTTGCACTCTCCAAGCTTGCGGAATTTGGAGTAGAACAGGCTATAACAGAATAGTTTCCCGTTCTTTTTTTTTTTTTGTATGTGTGTGTGTGTGTGTGTGTGCTGGGGATTGAACTCAGGGACTTGTGCATGAGAGGCAAGCACTCTACCAACTGAGTTATATCCCCAGTCAGTTTCACATTTTTATTACCTAAAATTCAGTAGTTTTTCAAGCATAATAGTTTTGAGACTATTGTGTAGCTTTGGTCTGTTTTCAAAGCACTGATGACTGGTGTGTCAATTTTGCTTAGCTTTATATTTGCTTTTTGAGGACAGGATTTACCAGACTTTCCATTCTGATATAACTAGTAGCGGATTCTTTTTTCTTTCCACAGTTTTTATTGGTGCAGTATAGTTGTACATAATAGTGGGATAGAAGTGGATTTTAGCTAAAAAATATTTATGAAATTTTAAATTTATAGCTATTTTACTGTCAGACATAGAAAAATATGGTATCATTTTCATATTCATACATTAGGTTTTAAACCATATACATTTGATACTATAAGACAATAAATATGCTACTAATTTTATATATCATTGAACTAATTAGACAGACTTTATAACTGAGAGACTGCATATGTGTGTGTGCATGCAGATGTGCTAAAAACATTAGAGGTAGAGAGCCATTCCCACACTTAAGGATATTTGCTAAGAGAAGTGTCAGCAGAACCCTGTGTGATGGACATACCTATAATCCCCACAAGGAAGGAGGCTGAGGCAATAGGATTCCAATTTGGAAGCAAGCCTGGGCAACTTAGTGAGAGCCTTCCTCAAAATAAAAAAATAAAAAAGGATAGGGATATATCTCAGTAATAGAGTGCCCTTGGGTTCATACTTAATACTAAAAAAAAATGTGTCAACAAAGAAAATAATCTGATAGTATATTTTAAATAATCACTAGAAAATATGAAAATACTATTGTCTAGCCTCTTCCTTTAGTTAGCTTTGTGACTTTGGAAAAACTACTTCCCTTCTCCAGAAAGTCAGACCAGATGATTTTAAGCATTCTCCGACATAAATTATGGTTTCAGATGTTCTTGGTGTTTCCTTCAATTATATGAATATGTTTAAATCAATCATGAGTGTTATAATGGTACTTCTTAATCTGCCCTTTAATTTTAAATAATGCTTAGAATGTATCAGACCTAACACTAATAAATATTTTATTTTATTGGTGTGTATAGTTTTACATAATATTGAGATTCACTGTGATATGTTCATACATAACTCACAATTTGGTTGTTTTCATTCCCTTGTGTACACCTCTCTTCCTTCTCCAGATCTTCTTCATCTAACCTAATGGTCTCCCATTATTTATAAGCATGTCATCCTCACAACACCCTTATTTTATGGGTAGTACTATTATTGAATGTCTACTATGTAACTAGTACTGTCTATATTCTAGGGATACAGCATTGAAAACAGGCAGAAGTTCATGCCCTCATGAAGTGTATATTATGATGGGAAGAGTAAATCAGGATAAGAGATTCATTTGGGCGGCAGGCGGTGGGGAGAAGATATAACTTAGAAGGTAGCATTTAAGTTCTGAGATATGTAATCATTATCTTCTCATTTGCATTTTTAAAACAGATTTAATAAAATTAAGTAATTTCATAACTTCTGACACTGGAATTTTTTATTCTAATTTGTTAAATATGAAAGCAGAATG